GTGCAACATATGTCGCCTGGTTCTTTGCCTAAAAAACCAGGCGACATATGTTGCACGTTAGTACCCGTGGTATTTCGTGACGTTTCATCGTGAGACCCACAAGCGCAATGCATTGCTGCTGTGTCTGGAACATGGCCGAATTTATTACCATCTCAAATTTCCTCATCCAGAGCAATATAATTTTCTATCTCTCTCCTGACTTGACTAAGCAGCAGTCATACGATGTGTGCCATTTGTGCTTTCATCGATATTATTCTGGTGGTGTTTCACGTGCGCGGTCTCATTGCTGGGTAATGCATCCAGGCAAGCACATACCATTTTTGGTGCGTAGGCCGCCAGATCCCTACTTCCCATTCGACACAAAGAACACAGTCCTTTCATTTCTCAGTCGCCGGATTGACTACTGGTGCCACCAAGCGCATCGAGATTGCCGTGCACCGTGTACAGAGGAAGCACTGACGCATTGGGTGCGCCACCCAGGAACTAAAGCAAGATTATTTTAAGTAACAAGAAACCTAGTACGACGGGCTTGTCATCCACATTATACAAAGAAAGCTAGGTCTCGAGGCGTATACTTTGACAAATAACACAGGTTTGGTTCGTACGTCAGTCAGGCGCGGAGTTGAGACTTCCTTAAGTAACTAAGATTTTTGTTGAATCTGCTATATTGGAGTGACAAATGTTTAAAAGTAGTTATGTATTCACCTGACACTTGCTGTATACTCGATAATATTTAATAAGAAAAGTATCTCCATTGCTTGACGTAAGGCTTAACAGCCCATGTGCACCACGAACTCTTCATTATGGACTTTCATCACCCTGAGTAAATTAATGATCTGCACAATGCTAAAAAATGTAATGTAAATTTCGTAAAGTTGTACAACATTGTTTTTGCACAACTGAACGGAGGTGTAAGGTACACAATCCAAAACATACTCTCGTGGACCTCTCCGTTTCGGCCTCCCATCGTCCAGTACATTTGAAGCCTTTAAGCTTTGCACAAAAGTGTAATGCGTACGTACACCATAATACGGTACGTACCCCGTCAAACTGTCTTTGACGTGTTTCAACAAGACAAACTTATGCAATATTCGAGCGAATACAATAGTGATCTTTGCACTACGGACTTTTGTTTGCCCAATCGAAAAAACACTGTAATGCTACGTCTTAGCGATGCGACGACGTCTGAACGCAAATTTGACGATCAGTTTTAAATATAGGAAATAATCTTGTCTGTGATACGTTGCCGATTCGTATACCGCACTACTTGTTACAGCACTTTGGTCTTTATCAGGCCATAACCTTTTCTTAGCAATTGCTCAAATTTGATCATTTTAATACTATCAAAAATTTGCATTGCCAGGTACGTACGCATATAAAACATATTTACAAGACTTACTAACGTCTCGTTCCCCCTCTTTAAAGCGCGTACTTAGAGAAAAGGCGCTCGATCTGCAAGGAAAATATCATCTTGTATGTCAACAATCTTCGAACATTTGTTATTCATACTTTCTTGGGAAATTCCACAAATCAGTTTCGACCAAATCACAGATTATTTTATATCATGGTGGTTTAGTAGCTTAATATTGTCAGATACACTTCCAGCCAGCTAAACGGCGACATATTATCTTTTAAACAATTTGTGATTACGATGTTGCTAGCTTGAACATGTGATGTAAATACTCCGGGACTAATAGCCGAGCCAATTTTCGATGATTCATATTGTCAATGTGATCCCTGCAAGATTCCGCCACAAACGTTTTCCTTGAGACCCACCTGCGACGAGCGGAAGTATATGCTACATCCATACAACAGCAATCTTCAAGCCTAGCACTTCCTTTGATTTGATATACAACCCATATTTTATGCTTCACAGATCTTTGCCGTTGATTATCACCAGAAACACCACTTTGCTGATATCGGCTTTGACCCTTATTCTCACAGCGGCAAATTAAGTGGGGTTTTTTCAGCAGAACGTGACATACTCATCAGACAAAGATGCCAAAACTACGGAACTGATTCGATTGCGTTCCATAAACCTGGTCAATCAGCCATCAGCTCCTTTTCTTTAATGTTTTCCTGGTTGCGATCTCTTGAACAATGTGGCGAAAGCTTTCTCTGGTCAAACGCTCCTTTTCAGTCCTCTGATTCAATATAATATCAGCGATTCCTTCAACATATTCAGTATGCACCCACCGCCACTTAAGCGCTTTCTTTCTCGCGCCATCAGGTCTGCACTGTCCCTGGGGGAACTATAACTTCCATGTAGGAATGCCACTGGCTTGATCACCAATCCATTCGATTGCTTTCAGTTTCATCGATCCATTATAGGTCTCCCTTTTCGACATCGATTGTATTTTGCACCGACTACGTACTGGAGGCTCTGCCAACAAACACTACCAGCGCGTTCTATTAAGAATGGCGTTTGATTTGTAAAGCGTAGTCTTATAACACCCTCAGAAAGGAAGGTGCACTAGTATGTAGGGTGGTATAATAGAAGAGCGATTTAATGACACGAGTAAGTATGAAGTCTCACAACTATGAACATATTAAGAGTAGCATCAAAGTTAATATCGACATACAGCTGTTAATGGCCGAAGAGCTAAATCAGCATGAACACCTTGAGCTCCCGGATCAGGTTTTTGATACATTGCTTTTGATTCTTCCATAACTTGACCTTCATTAATTCCAAGTACGTCTTGTTCTTCACATCCACAATAATAAACATTTCGTTTCTCACCATCGACTTGAGCCTGGCTAGTCGAAAAAAGCACAGGTTGTCCAAATTGTTCCATCACTCTATGTATCTTTCCATAACCATTGCTAGATTCGAAAATCTCACCTTCTGGTGCCTTCTTAAGTCTCCCACTGAATAAATGCATGTCATCTAGATAAATCGTGACGTCTTTCACACCACGTTCTGGAGTCTTACTATAATTCCAGAATTTAATCATGGATAAGACGATAGGGGTGTCAAAACCAATATACACAATATTCCCCTGTTCGTTGCCAAGTGAACTTGCCAACGGAGCGAGCCATGCATCATGAGCTTTCCATGTATTCTTGTCGTTACCACTCATAAGATTTTCAGGTATTCGTGAATCTTGTTGATTTTCACCTAATTCCGAGATCGAGTATGGGTTTGCCGTTAGAATATTTGGCCTCTCAACAATACGAGCTCCATCAAACTCATACAATTCAAGACCATTGAGTCCAAGGTAGTATGGATCACCCCATGTTGTCCAACATATAATCTTAAGTAAAAATCCTTGAGGATACAACGGTACTTCGTAGTCTTGTCGAATGATTGGTGTCTTGTATGCTAATGATCTAAATGGGTAATGCACACGTTTTGAGTACAAAGATGAATTTATCTTGTTCAATGAGAAGAATAAAAGTTGGCCAAAGTCAAAATCACAAACTCCAGGAGCTTTCCGTAAGAGATATCCAGTTTTCTTTGGAGAGACAAGTACTCCATCAATAGTAACAATTACTTGTTTCACACCGCGATATGTATCTTCGAGTGATTTATTGTAATTCCAAACACGAAGACCAAAGAAAAACTGCATTGTTTGAAATGTTATTCGCAATTCTGGAGTTTTTCCAGATTCAAATGGCACAAGCCACATATGCGTGTCGTCGCATGTGGTAGTTTCACCATCAATTAGCTAACATAACGATACACATCACATAAGTTCACAAAGAAGAATTGTCGACGGAAAGCATGACGCACTTTATCAAGTGTACGAGGATCTCCCATGTATCCGAGCTAAACAACAAGAAAGAAATATTATGGAATTGCAATAAAAAAATATTGCTACAATAACTCACCGATGCCAAATCTCGTGGCGTTGCATCCAAGTTGTCTAACTGTATTGGATATGGTGTACCATGTGATCCAACTAGCACTTGTACTTGAGTTAATCCAATATAGTTTTGATCGCCCCATGTACTATGCAATCGTAACACGAGGTGACGACCACATGGTAATGTTTCATTTGTGGGGCATGTTTCGTCACTCAACATTGCGTTCTTTGTTATTTCTTCTTCATGAGCTTCAGCGACCCACGTATCGATTGAAGTTCTCAATGTCGGATCTTTACGTGTAGCCATCGTCCGAGGTCTGCCAGTTTTATCAGAATACTCGTATCTTTCATTGCTCTTTTCAATTTCAGAACTTTTCTCGACAGTCCTCGATTCAACATCAGAAGTTCGCGGACGTTGGTGTTCTATTGATCGATGCATCTGATTAATAAGTTCACGAACTTCTCCTTCTTCTCCCTCTTGTTCTTGTACAAGAGATCGCAATGTTTTATCATTTGCTTCAATAGCTTTGAGAATCGCTGGTTCTCGAGTAAATAGGATCACTTCATTGGCATTATTTACACTCTCAGCACCAACAATTCCTGGCGCTTGTCGTATTTCACCTTCAAAAATCACAGTTCCATTGTGATTATTTTGTGCTAATCCCTGCGAATCGCGTAATAAAGTTGCCGGAATTTCATCGTAAAGAATCAGACGTGCTTCACGAACACCTCGGCAAGTGTGAGTCCTTGACTTGTTATAATTCCATAAACGTATCATAGCTATTGAAATCAAAGAATCCATTGCAAGTAGCACATAGTGTGTTTTGCCTGCTGTGAACGGTGCGAGCCACATATGAAAATCATCGCAAGTAAAATTTACCCCGTCCACTAAATTTTTTGGAACACGTGGATCGTCCGAGTTTTCTTCAAGCACATTGATGCTATCAGGACACGCTACGATCTGTTTGACTGGATCGTGAAATTGCACAAGTTTCCCACAATGATCAAAAATTTCAATTCCATTAAGCCCAACATAGTACGGATCACCCCACGTACTCAAAATTTCAAGTTTCAACCATTTTCCTTTTGGAAAGATTGGAATACTTGCTGCTGGCATTGATGCTTGTCTTGATTGAACTGAAGTTGTCAATGTACAATTGGTAGATCCCTCTGAAAAGGTTTCAATGCGATTTTCAGTATGTTTGGATGGTTTCGATGCATTCTTGTCAACCTCTTGAGTGAGCCGATTTCTATTTCGTTTGCTAAATTTCTCCAAACTATCCCACGATGAAAGAGATGCAAGCGACGATACTTTTACTTGTTCATTGTGACCTTTATCCTCTTTACATTCGATAACTTGACTTGAAGAAGACTTTGTGATCACCCGATTTCCTGCTGATGTATCTATTGTACCGCTCCTTGAGCTCTGGCTACCATGCCGACGACGACTTGTATTGTTCATAGAGCTGAGTAGGTTAAGATCAGCTGATCGGCTCGTTGTTAGTAAGGAATCTACAACTGGAATAGTGTCTGGTAACCACATTGGTGTCAACTTTTCGGTGCTAGCGTCATGTCTACGAGAAGAAACATTCTGCTGAGATAGTTTAGCCTCATTATCATTATGTCGACTAGATGGCATTCTATTAGAAAGTGTAGAGCTCTCGTTGTCTCGTACTGAACGTAATCCTTTTCTAGCTGAACCAAGCAAGTCAATCGACGTACACACATTATCGGCTGCATCACCATAACATTCAGGAAGAGATCCCATCCAAACAGACTTTCCACACACCACCACTTCGAGGTCACGTGTACAAGCTGAAAGTGTCTTCTGTTCATCAAAAGATAAAAAAATCATAGAAATATCAATAAAGATCTTGCAATTGCAAGCAAAGCACTTTACGTACACCATTGTAATTCCATATGCAGAGCTTGCTAGGAGGCGATTGCACGCTGAATTCTATAATGAGGACATCTGCACTTTCAAACATAATTTTGTCAGTTGATAGTCTCGTTTATTGCAAAGGTTATTACCAGAGTCTCCCAATCTTCCAAGCCACATATCGGTCTCACTTTTCGTCTGAGTCATGTTGTTAGATGTAAAGAGTTTTTGTAACCCGCGGACCATTTCAGTTATCTTGGGTAAAGGTCTACCACTCAATTGATCGTAAAGCTGTAGTGAATTTAAGTCAACCGAAAGCTCCTCGTCGTTGTGATCATAGACACAAATTCGAGCAAGACCCACCGCCCGAGTGTTTCCCCATGTTGACAGCAATTTAATGTGAATCTCATAGTTTCTAGTCTCTATACTAGAGGTAAAAGAAAAGTCAAGCCTCGGAACCCTGAAGACTGCATTCTGTGACTTTTTCACATCAGATTCGTTGTTCACACTTGAAATATCATTTTGAGTTGAAACCGAGAAAGTGTCGCTGTCACTCTCGTTCAAATTACGAGATTCTCGTGGCTTATTGTCAATCCATTCATCTTCTAACTTAGTTTCTCGCTCGCTTATATGATCTTTATCACTATCTTTACTACTGACTGCAGGCACAGCAAGATTTGTCTCATCTTGAAGTGCTTTGAGCTTTGCTAATCGTTCGTTTCGTTTGACTTCCATCAGCCGTTCAATTTCACGTTCTTCTTCCTCCAATTCTTTCATCATTTTTGCACGACGGTCTTCCGCTTTCTTAAGAGCAACTTGTTTCGCTTCTCGTTCGCGTACAAGTCGCATCTTCATCTCACTTGCATACTCATTCTCTAATCGCAATTGATCCTCAAGCATTTTGGTGTCGAAATCTTTGCGTACGTTGGTTATTGATTCGTCACTCACTTTATTAATCAATGCTTTTGATGAAGGCAACGGATTTAGTACCGTTGTGATTTCGTTCCAAATTGCAGGATCTCCAATCGAATTCTTTAATGTCTTAAAATCGTCTTCATCTTGTTTTCCAGTCTGAAACTTTTGCAACAAATCCACTAAAGCTCTTTGCTTTGTCCGAGAAAGATGTTGAATAACTCCAAACAGATCTTTTGTTGTTTGAGCCAAATCTATGGAAGATAAAAGCTGTGGGGGGAGACTTGAACTGCTTTGACCTTCTTTTGTACTCGAAATCACACTAATTTGCTCTATATTCTCACCCATCTCTTCGATCACAAGCTCTTCATTAATGCATGACATTTCTTCCTCTTTTTCTTCAAATTCTTCAAAAGATTCATTCAAATAATTCTCATCGTCATCCAATCCTTCCTTTTCCTCACTCTCTTCATGTGTCATCAATCGAAATTGAGGTACTCCATCCTGGTGTTGCACTGTGACTTCCATTGGTGCTTGAGGTCGATGCCATTTTGCTCGTTTCCCTCGAATAGATTCTTTCCTCTTTTCCTCATTCTTTTTGGAAGCAAAATTCAATGTCGTTGACGGAGCTGATCGACATTTAGCTTTGTCTCGTTTTTCGAGATTTGTTGGTAGTACTGATGTTGCAGATTTTGTATTCCTTGATGATAAAGATGATGAAGTAGTGGATTGCACATTGCGAATGGGGACATTAAATGAAGTAACAAAAGCTTCTTCTCGTTCATGGAGTCGGTCATTCCGTTTTGAGGCTGCTAATCGCTTTTTAATCCGATTTCTCTCTTCTAAAACTTGAAGATAGCGTAATTGTTTTGTTAATACTGGATCTTCCTTCGCTTCCGAGACACTAGACGTATTTGATGGATGAAACTCTTGATGTTTCTCCCAACGCTTTCGCTCCGTCATTTCAGATCGACACAAACGCCCTTTCGATTTACTTTATAGCACCATTTTGGTCCTCCCTATTTAAAGTGACTGTCTAATAGATTCGAGACAATTGATAAATGGTGCAAAGTTTATTCATGAGTGTAGATATTGTTCTTTTACTGCAGTTTGAAAAAAGATTGTGAATTGGAGAGAGTTTACTTCGAGAATTATTCGGTTAAGTGTGTGTCAGATCTAATGAGCACGTACAGAAATTGCTCAACAATATTATTTGCATTAAAGATATGCGGTGAAGCTAAAGTATCCAAGTGAATTGCTTGAAACCGTACAACTTTTGAGCTTTCGAAAAAAACTCCAAGTCGTGTTGTTCATGGCCAGGAACATGATGGGCAAAGCTTACAAACACCTGATTTTTTTAAGAAAGATAGGAAATATAAACTTAAGTTTTTATCAATAAGAAATGGTGAAAGTATACTCACCTTTCCTTTAGCTGCTAAACATCCATCAATCGATCTAAGCAAGTCTTCGTGCTTAAGTGATGTAAAAATGTATTTATGTCATCGAAAACGGAAATTATAACATCCAATCTAAATTTCTTACCAAGTCATGTAACCACAGACATTCTGCTACGACCACAACATCAAATCTTGACTCATTGTGAGCATTCTCGTGAAGACATGTCACTAGTTCTGTTATGTCACTTCCCCAAAGGTGACCTCGAACTTCATATCTTCCACTTCCTAGCAAACTTTTGTTCCGCTTAATATTTGTTTCAATATTTTTTAATAACAAGTTATTTGGGTAATCTGCAATATTCACAATATTAAATATATTCGTCAATAAAACAAGTAATTTTACAATGTCGGTACCAGTTATAACCGCGACTTTGGCCCCAACATGGAGCGCTACAAGCGATGGCAACGCTCTATCGACAGTAATGCATAACCAAGGGTAAGCACTCCTCGATCTCAATTGGGCTAATTCGACTTACGAAGCTGCCCCAAATTCCACAACCTTTCGACCTCTAATCAGCTCAGGGTACTTGGCAAAATGCATAGCTATAAATCTCTGCGCAATAAATTATTGCGATAAAATTACCCAAATTTATTGTGCAAATATATAGACTTTCAAACCGTACCGCTCCATTCCAAACAGCGCAAGCAAAGAGCGAGCCTGGAATTCCGCCATCGTCATCAGCTACTGAGATACGAAAACGTGGTACCGATTCACCCACGTCCAGTTCCATTACAAAATCTTCTGGATCATAGCCATTGTCCTCTCCATTTTGCAAGAATAGTGCTCCAACCACGTTGTCCTCAGTGTCATCCATATTAATGCCTTGCGGCTTGATTGGCACAATAAAATCATTACAAGTCAAAGCAAAATTTCAATAATCTAATTACGAACACTGAAGTCAGGCAATATAATACAACATACAGTACGGACATAATGCTTTGATATAAAAGCGCAACCATACACGATGAAGGCGATAGTGTTGATGACTTAGCCTATCCGTAAGAATTACATGAAGAAGCTATCTATATCGATGTATTAGGATAACGGCATCAGTAGTACGTACTATCGACAAAGTGTAATATTTAGATTCTCTACAATCATATATTATTCTTGATGCTGTGAGAGCAGCTACTACACTATTAATTCCATCACAACAGAAATGTCGATGTGGCATGCTGCATCTCGAGTAAATTGTAAATGGCACCTTCAGATGTTGATCTACTACAGCGCGCAAGTTCTTTTTGTTCCACAGAATCAAGCTGCAAAAATTGAAAGAGCACCAATGCATAAAAACTCTGTTTTCACTTTTTTGCTCCAACCATCGGATCGACCACATCTCAACTCGGCATTCGTCAAGTTGAATCTCGTAGATTCAAAGCGTAATGTAAGAAATCCACCATAACATGTTACAAAGTAAAGAGATGACGGAATACTCGCCCACTCAGACTGAAACTAGAGTACTACCGCCTCCTTCTGATGTACTATTGACGTAAACCAAAAGGTTAAGCTCCTTTTAATCTATCTAAACCAGATACGACAGCAACTCGTCTCAAGACACACTCGCAACTTAGATTCCCGAGTAAAGTCACTCGCACGACGCAAACGTTGTCCACCAGGAGACTCAATATGCAGCGGGGCTGCTGTAGCAAAACGCTTGAGGAAGTGTACTTTAGGTCACCGACCTTTCATTCTTTCCAGGAACCAAGTATGAGTTAGCGGATCGCAATCCGCTTACTCCAAGAGTGATTGTTGCCTTCCCAAGGCTAATTGACTCTTCGGTTTAAACTCCAAACTGATTTTTATTTATATTTTTATCCTAATGTCAAAGTTCCTAAATATTCTAATTATATATAGTAAATGTAAATACATGCATAACTACTGGCTACTTAGCCCCGTACCGTATCTTGTTTGTGTGTGTGGTCACATCATGCACATCTCGTGTGACACACACAACCCTGCTATTAAGGTTCGTGTAACCCCGTTACCCAATATCTCACATATAAAAAGCCGCCAGTGCCTACAAAGTCCTTACGTTCCCCCGTCAGAGTTCGTCTGGCGATGATGCACCAAAGTCTGATTCAAAAAATGTAGCCGAGAGAGAAGGAAGAAGCACGGGTTTGACACTGTCGTGGATGGGTTTCACGATACTGCTAAGCAGCTAAGATACATTTCTCCATTACCTCAGCTTGACTGAGTATCATCACATAGAGCCGTTACCTCTCCACCCGGCCCTCACGGCGCAAAAATTAATCTTTGTATCAATGTGACGCCAACGCTTCATCAAGAGATACAAGGTGGGCGCGAAGGGATTTGGACAGAACCGCTGTCCCCGGAAAAGTAGATGCGTTTGACAGTTTTATTTCAATTTCATTTCTATTGTTAGTTTCAACGGGGTCGGAGAACTGGTGGACTGGGGGCCAGCTATGTTAGCTGTTTGCCTTGGAGCGCTCATAATCCATGAAATTGCTACCTCCAGTAGCGCCACAACCACCTGCACGCTTAGACCGATATCATAGTTTGCAAATTCTTGCCTCCCATTACATGTAGACAGACTTTCTATCGCACAATATACGCTTAAAGGTTAAGCATTGCGAACACGCACAATATCTGCCACTTCAACACCTTTCAAGTTGGGTGTATCCCCTGTCGAAAGAGCTGATTCTTGCGCGCGGCTCCTGGTGTGGAAATTGCTGGTGCGTCGCACAAGTGCTCTGTCTAGAGCATGGCGCCGATCATGACCATCAACTTCTTTTGTCCAAAGAGAAGCATTATTAAATTTTTAACTGTAATGGCTTTGACCCTTAGCATAGCGGCGTTAGGGTGGGGGCTGGTTGCTTTCTCCAACACCTGGTTTAGACGTCTATGGAGGTGTAGCACCAGCAATTCTCGCAATTAAAAGCCCCCATCATGAGTGTATCCCGCTTGTGCAGCCAATTATCTTGAACCCTCAGGGTCATCAAAAGACAGAGGCGAATAGCGAGTCTTAATGCTTTGAGGACAGATAGGTGAGCATAAATTATTCACATTCACACAAAATACAGTCGTATTGACGATAAGTGCTACCATGAACAATGTATCTGCCGCGGACTATGCACAGAGGAAGAATGACTTTTCTATATTAGCTAATGCGCAGAAAATAATTTGAAACGCGTTTTCCAGGTGGCCAGAATGGAAGTCTTCCGTGTGCATCCGTCTAGCAGGATCGAGGGCCTCTCAATTAGCGTGGTTGTTGCCAAATCTGCTCTTATCTCAGGAGTGACATAAAGTCATTATGTAATTTAGCTGAAAAGTTCAACAATGTATGATTTCCATCTCCATTGCTAAATCCCTATATGTATGCTATTAGCGTGAGGCTAGCGGCCCACCCTTCCCACTTGACCTGTCGACTCAAAGGCTCATTGCTCTCATCAGTATCACTTTATAAGCTGTGATCTACATCCAAAAGACAATAGTGTCATCTGTACGTACACCACAACATGGTACCAAGGAAACTTGAGGTAACATGAGTCTGGGCATGTACTTGATGCTGTCCAACGCTGCGTCATCAAATGGCTGAGAATCGCCAAGGTCTCCACATTGGTCACCCCCAGAGTATCCCGCCCGAACCGACAATCGAGAACAATTGGCTACACTTTCAAACCAGTTCGAGAGATCTATACAGGGTAGGCTTTACCATGCTCCTTTGCGTCACATATGTCTTGGAAACAGCATTTGATCCGGATTGGTGGCTGTATATGGCTTATTTTAAGTATGCAGCTTGCCATTATCGTTTCTTTTAGTAAGGTCGGCGCCAAATGGGGATATTTACTCTCTCTCTCATCAAACCATCTTTTTGCATTACAAGTCAGAAAAAGTCGATGACCTCGCACTGATTATTCTACCCATGTATTTGCATGTTACGCTATATTTGGTTCTTGACTAACTCTAGTCTGGGCAACACCCGCTGTAGGTCTCTTCTTCCCACGTCGTAGAATCCGTTATCAAGGAATAAAAACATTCGCACTCAGTTTCTTATGATCTCAATGACAGACACAACCATACTGGCGACCACTGGTACAACCAGTATCCACTCGGTGTTTTGCGCTTTATTCGCACTTATTGCAACGTCATTGCAAACGATATCGCACCTTGGGCTCGCGTCAAAGTGTCTTCTCATGAGGGTCACAACTTACCAAAGTTCCACTGCGAGAGAAGTATGGAGAACTTAGTTTTCTTCGACGTTCAAGTTAGTTCATGGCCTGTGAGGTTCAGTCCAGGCCATATCTAAGATGAGTGTAATCTTGAATACATGTCTAATACCAGATAGCGCTATACAACTGTTAAGGTCCTAGCGCTATAATGTAAAGTTTATAAGAGCCATCGACCTATAGAGCGTTCCCCACCAAAAGACGAACGGATATTGTACTAGCATTTGACACCCCAAATACTGTTTCGTTTTCCTATGTACGCCTTTGAACCTATTAAACAAGTCTGTTAGGATGAATAACCAAAATTTTGAGCGTCTCCACATTCAGGCAGTGTAAGTACCCTTAGGACTTACTCCTGTTGACTTTGAGATCCACTAGGTACAAGTAAGTCCAGTCCTTTCCAAATGGCACTTGGTAAACTGCTAAAATCGGCATTCCCCCGAGGGTCTGTTTATCAACTCTAAACGAGACCTTGATGTTTGAACCTCTTATCCGAAAGAGTTGTAAAGGGGGCACGCAGGGTGTAAATGATAGCATGTTACAACCTCGGATATCATGGTGCTGCTCGACAGTCACTGTTAATTTCTCTCGACACAATAAAACACGCACATGGAGCCTTTCGCCCCCACGCCCCAAACGATCCTTGTGAAACGGAAGTTGTCGTATCTAATGCAACATCTAGTACTTCTTCAAATGAGGTTAAGTACGAATTGCTCGTTGCGAGCCACACCTGTACGGAGATCTTTGATAAACTAACTTTTTAGCGACTTCAAAAAAATTATCTTGGCCATTATGTTTTGAGATTTTAACAAAAAAATTCGATCCTTACAGTCAGATAAAATTTAGACCACCCGGTACAAACACCTACGAAAGCTGTCGATTGCCGCGTTTGATAATATATGTGTATGGACACCATAATAGATTTTCTCAAAATATATTTATTTTAGCCATTCCTCAGCACTCTCTCACAGTCAATTCTAACCAATCACAAAGTCCCTTCATTTCCACCATTCAACCTAAATGACCGACGTCGAGACGCCGTTGCTTTGGTGCATTGACGAGCGGAATGTGGCAACCCGTCGTGGCCGTATCGTTCGAAAAGTCAGCGAACGTTATTTACGTGATGATCTAAGCTGTTCACTACCCAATTGCGCGCTTTGTAGTGCCGATGACGATGCATCAGCAGCCACACATGTTTTAGGCATGACAAAGACGTTATTAGCTGAATCGCCGCGTAATGGAGTGTACTTATTACCATCGATGAAGACAGTATTGCTGCAAATGGATGTATTAGAGTTTAGTATCAAAAATAGCACGAAAACTACTCACGATCAGGGAGATTCTGAAGTCTTTGCGGATGTTCTGGTTCTAGAAACTGTCTGGGAATATGTTAAACGTCAAGATTTGGGCGTTTACAATCGTCTTCGTGCGTTATTAATGAATGCCGATCGACGATTTGTTGTGTTTGCTAATGAACATCATCGAGCTTGTTTTGTTCAGAAGAAAGAAGTGTTACCACAAGGGTACAGAGAGAACAAAGTCGAGGACATTGTCACTTTGGAAACAGAAGATGAACGCAATGAACGTGCGGTAACTACTGCTTATAATTGGTACGTTGATCATTTGCAGAAACTCGATCGAATGGATGTCAAGATTTTGTTTTTAGCAAATGATGAAGAAGATTTAAAACAAGCTCAAAAATTTGGCCTTCAAGATGGCATGACAATTGCTGACTTTGTGAAGCCTGTGTCGACGAAGTATCCAGAATTGCAAGATCTTTTATCGGCTTCTGCAGCTGAGGAGAAAGAGATGAGTGTGGAGGGAGTCAGTACCACCAAAGGACGGAATCGGAAACAACTGTATCCAGAGCATTTAAGTGCAGGCGAGTTACTAGCAGGTATAAAGAATCAGAGATTTTTTAAAGGGACATTACGATGCAATCGGGACCATTGGCTTGAATGTCATGTGTTGATTCATGGTACAAATGGCGTCAAAATTCCGGTACTTTTACAAGGGCGCGAACATATTAATCGAGCAATTGATGGTGATCTCGTCGCGATTCAGGTGTTACCACAGGATCAATGGAAGAAACCATCAGATGCATTCGCTGCGAATGGTTCGATTGAAGATGACGAAGAAGACAATGAAGACATTCAATCAGAACAAGCTGGTCTTGCTGAACCCACTGTGCCTTTAGAGCAAGTGGCGCTTCTTCAAAGTGATATCAAGCCTGCCGGACGTGTAGTTGGTATCATTGAACGCAATTGGCGCAAATTTTGTGGCTCGTTGGAGCCTCCACGTGACGGTGCAATGTTAAATGCCTCTGGTAGTTGTCTTGTCGTGCCTGTGGATCGAAAGGTACCAAAGATCAAGATCCAATCACGGCAATTGAACACACTTATGGATAAGCGCATTCTTGTAGCAATTGACTCATGGCCTGCGTACAGCAAATATCCATTAGGTCATTATGTGCGTACATTGGGTGTAATTGGCGATAAAGAGACCGAGACGAATGTGTTACTGATCGAGCATGACATTCCTTGTGATCAATTTAGCGACGAAGTCATGCGTTGTTTACCACCAGAAGATTGGCAAATTACTTCATTAAACTCCAAAGGTCGACGTGATTTACGTGATTTGCCAGTTTGTAGTATTGATCCACCTAATTGTAAAGATATTGATGATGCTTTGCATGCAAAGTTATTACCAAATGGTCATTTGCAAGTTGGTGTGCATATTGCTGATGTCACGCACTTTGTGCCACCAGGAAGTGCATTAGACGAAGAAGCAGCAGATCGTGGTACTTCGACGTATCTCGTAGACCGTCGTCTTGATATGTTGCCAGGTTTATTAACTACAAAGCTTTGTTCACTTACGTCGACTGAAGATCATTTTGCATTCAGTGTTTTGTGGGAATTGAAGCTTGTGGGTGACAACGATGTTGAGGTTATTGATGTGCAGTTTTGCAAGAGTATAATTCGTTCTATCGCATCCTTATCCTATCAACAAGCACAAGAGCTTTTAGATGATCCAGATGCTGGAAGCGTTTATGGTTGCGATCAGAAGAAAGTGAAGAAAAAACAAGGCAAAAGTGACGACCAGTGGAAACGTCGTCAAATACTTGGAAGTGGAATCAAGACGCTGAATGTCATTGCGACTCGTTTACGTGCGAAACGAATTGCAGCTGGTGCATTGACACTTGCGTCGCCTGAAGTTCGATTTGTCCTTGATACCGAAACTCAAAACCCATTAGATGTGCAGATGTACACTCTTCGGGATACTAATGCACTTGTAGAAGAATTCATGCTACTGGCAAATATTACAGTCGCTAAGAAGATTGTACGTCACTTTCCAACCTTTTCAATGTTGCGTCGTCATCCTGCACCGTCAAAGCGCCAATTTGATTTATTATGCAGTCAAGCGAAGGCTGTGGGTGTTGATTTGCATGTCGACACATCAAAACAATTACAAGATTCATTGGATTCTGCGGACATAAATGGCAATACAATGGAGAACAAGAGAAAACAATCTGGACTTGCAATAAATCCATATTTCAACAAGCTATTGCGCATTATGACCACACGTTGTATGATGCCGGCGAGTTACTTTAGTTCTGGAGAAGTAGCACCATCCGAATTTCATCATTACGGTCTTGCTGCCCCCATCTACACTCACTTTACATCACCCATTCGACGGTATGCTGATGTAGTCGTCCATCGTTTGCTGGCAGCAGCAATTGGAGTTGCACCGTTACCGCAATATCTCGAGAATAAATCGCATTTACATGAAATAAGTGACCAGCTTAATCGTCGGCATCATGCTGCTCAACTTGCTGGTCGTGCTTCAGTGACACTTCACACGATACTTTACTTTCAGCAGTATCCTACTCACACAGATGCGGTGATTACGAAAGTTAAGAAGAATGGGGTGGGGGTGTTATTGCCTCGTTTTGGAATAGAAGGCATGATCTTTGTTTGTGAGAAGGGTGAAGAAGACGATGATAAGGTTGTACACTTTGATGGTACTCATCATACGCTGACGTTAGTTCAACAAGCTCATCGTAAACTGCAAGTCTTTGATCGTGTTCGTGTTAAAGTTTACGTGGCTTCCACTTATGGCAATCGCCAAGAATTGAAAATGGATTTGCTGAAAGAAGATGACGAGGAAGACGACAAGGTTGAAAGTGAAGATCAGAAACTGGCTGAAGCGAATCTTCAAGCGGTTCGCAAGAAACGTAAGGTTGCTTGAAACTTGCCAATGTTTATAAATCCAAGTAGATTTTTTTTCCTTCTTGATTCATTTGAACGGGAAATAAAGCGCGTAACTACTTAAAATACTACACTAGACTGTCTCCTTATAATTTTAAGCATGAAATGATAAAGTCGCTCAAGCGTACTCTAGGTGTAGAGTACACAAGTTAGTGTACTCACTCAATGGTGTTGTTACACATTCACAAGAAATTGCCAGTAGTAATGCAGATTAATCAGGTTTTAGTATATAAATTAGGTACTACTATATCAATATCGAAAACCTAGAATTTTAGATATTGGAGGCTCCGCAACTGAAACAGATAAAGTTTTAGTTTTGAATAAAAGAGTTCATTCACCTTGGCTAAGGTTTTAAAAACTCTGCAGTGCAGCGGATTGCGATCCGCTGCACTCGTACTGGTTCTTGTCAAGAATGTAAGGTCCGTGACATTAGCTTAGCTTCCTCTTGGCAAAGAGCTACGGCAGCCCGCTGCAAAACGTCTTTAAGCTCTCGCCGCAGATGTTGACACTCTTGGTCAGTCTGTCGGTTTTAGTTGTGGAATTTATTTATGGTACACGTCCGGGTTACCTGCTTTTCTGTCTTGGTGGACTGTCTGTGGTTCGCCTCTCACTGATGGCACGCCATAAGGCACCCTTAGGAGCCATCCGAATGTGATTTCCTCTGTTGAAAACTTAGTCACGTCTTAACCATCGTTTAAGACGAACTACCTTTTGCTCATGTGTAGCAATGCAATTTTTGCCGAGCAAAGCAGAACGCTTATGGATTCCCGAGAGCGCATCCGGAAACAAATTTATGTCCGTACCCGTCACACGCCAGAATTATCGAGATACCGTCATGATTAAGAGAGAGCATATGATTTAGCCACAGGATGGTCATCTTCCAGTGGCATTGCTATATGAGCGATGGGTGTTTCCCCTTTCTGGTATGGTAGAGGGATCTTTGTGTGTTATCTATATCAGGTGTAGTAGAAGAGATACCCTCACTCATAAATATTCTAGGCCCCACTCCAGGGGAATTATTCTTGGCGTCCTCGCCACTCTGGATTAGGTGTATACTTTTTTGCATAAAGCCAAAGTGTAACGGGGTTACACATACCCTGGTAACAAGGGTGTGTGTCACACCAGATGGGCATGGTGTAACCACACCCAAACAAATATACGGTACGGAGCTGGATAGCCAGTAGTTATACATGTATTTAGACATATCTAGGAAAATCTATGCATTTGAAATTAGGCGACTTTGCCGCAAATAAAAATAGTTTTGAATCGAAACGGATGAGTGAGTTAGCCTTGGGCAAAAGTTGTAATTACTCTTGGAGTAAGT